AGAACTCTTGATATCAGGCAACCGCACTCATGAAAGCTCACGTAGTAGAGGCATGTAGAGCAGTCTGCAATAACTTTTTGTCTCCTTTTTTTGATGAAAATAAAAAGAGGTTTTTGGTAAAGTTTTTATCTTTTTGAATACATTTTAGTCTCGTCTTATTTCGTCAACGAAATTGCATGTTGATATAGTCTTAGTTATCATTTATTGACCTTATTGTCCTCTTGTCTTCGTCTCGTCTTAGTCGTGGGAAAAAAGCTTGTCAGCGAACATTTTTCTTCATAGTCTTCGTTAACGAAATTAACACTAGTGCACGTGCACGCGCCCGCCGCTCATTCAGTAAAGATTAAAACTTAACACAGACTCTTACGACGGACCTTTATGCAAAAATGGAAATTCTCTCGTGAATTTGTGACATTTATACATAAGGATATGACCGTTAACTGAAAGTTTTTGCGCTAAGGACGCACATGCATCATCTGCCAAAGCGCCTGACAGAGCAAGCCATTACGCTAATGCATTAGCTTACAGCTTAAAATAAACAATTCTCATGTTTTGGGCAGCTTGGATCACGTGACACTCCCGCAGCATCTCATTCTGTTTCCTCCACTATTTTTAGATGCATTTTGTCCATAAAGATGCATAATTCAGTGCTGTAATTTGATGCCACTGGCTGAAGTTGGACGTGCACTGTGGGCAGACCCGACTAATCGATAAATGAGAATCGTTGTCGATGATTTTCATAATCGATAATATCGATTAGTTGTTGCAGCCCTAGCCTAGTTACAGATCTGCAAGTGCTTTTGTAATACTATTTTAATAAAAACAAAAGTGCCATGAAACAATGTATTGGTAGACGATACAATGAAGATTAAGACAATAAACATTTGAATTACATATAGTGAAGAACTTAGTTTTCTGTATATTTTCATTACCACATCATGATGTCAGCTAGCTTTGATTTAAAAAATAAAAATGTGGTCACTTCAAAATAACCTAGTTGTCCCTCAAGAAAATGCACAGAAAGGATCTAAATAAAAAGGCAACTATCCAAGATTATGTTTACTTAAGTTATTTTGGTCACATTCATTTAAAGGAGACATATTATGCACCTTTTTAGAATATGTAATATAAGTCTGTGGTGTCCCCAGAATGTGTCTGTGAAGTTTCAGCTCAAAATACTCCACAGATCATTTATTATATCATTTTGAAAATGCCTATTTTGAGTGGAAGCACAAACACGCTGTTTTTCGGGCCTGTTTCTTATGCAAATTAGCTGCTGCTCCCCGCCCCTTTTTCCAGAATAGAGCTGCTCCTTTACAGCTTGGACCTGCTAAAAACATCTGTTTTGGTTCTGAATATCATGTTTATCGCGCTGAAATCATGCGTTTTAAACCATATGAGTTTAAACTTCTGATATACGGTTTTCTGAGTGCACACATACGAAGCACAGGACAGAAAACAGCTGTCACAGCATGTGAGTACTAAACTAAGTTCTCATTCACACTCAAGTTTATGTTAAAAACACACACGAGTTACAAAAACAGTCGGTTATGACTGTGAAGGTAAGCTGCTGGGAAATAAATCGCATGTTTATTTTAGATCTGTGTGGCAGCAGCAATATACAGTAAATAAATCAATAAATCCACTGCTCTCTTGTCTCCTCTGAGGCTGGGACTGTAAATAGTGTTCTGTGCAGACAAAGACAGAACAGTTAGCATGTTTGCTCAAACTTTCGCCATGGCACTAAAGCTGGTATACCGATGTCGCTTGCGAAATCAAAATAACGGCGACGTGGGTGGAAATTTACAGAGTATGGGGCGGTAATATTATAATGAGATCCCTTTGCCACGTCACCAAGGGAGCGAAATCAGATGCGCTCGTTTTCTCAGACGCTTGCAGAAAAAGGCTTACCAAAACAAAGTTACTGGGTTAATCTTTTTCACGTTTCCTTGGTTGGTAGATGCACCAGGGACCTGATTATAGCACTTAAAACCTGAAAAAGTCAGATTTTCATGATATGTCACCTTTACAATTGTCCCAATGTAGCACACATAAACATTCTGTCAATCTACCAATGAAACGTCCATATATGTACATTGATGGTGATAAAACACACTGTAGCGTTATCATTTTCAGACACCTATAAATTGCTTCTCCAATAAATATTCCCACACAAAGGTATTCATTTTATAATTCAATGTAGATAAGGGAAGGTCAAAGCGATAAAAAGCAAACTTGTCACAGTTTCAGCACTACAAACAACTAAGCTTCACCTTACAAAAGCAAAAAAAAAAAAAAACCCTGTCATGTCAGGTGAAATCACTCCTTATATTATGCAAATACCGCAAGCAATAAAACATGTCCTGACTTGTTCCCACCTGGCAATTTGACAACTTCTAGATTCTGGCAGGAATGCCTGCATGTCCATCTCAAAAGCCCTATTCGCACGGCATTGGTATTACCTGGTGACCTCCAGTCATTTGTAATAAATGCGGAGGTTGTCTGTAATCTTAATACCGTGCGAATCGGCATCTCTGTGATTTGGCCAGCATTCGGCGGGTCGTATTATCATTATTCGAGGCTTTTGCTAAATGTGCACCTTTTTATTCATCTTTCGAGAAGAATGGAGCTGCGTTGGGAGTGTTCGATGGTATTTTGGGTGCCGTCATATCGCTACACCATACAATTTGCAGAAAGAGAAAGCTGAAAAGGTTAAGGTTAACGTGTTACAAATAAATCAAGCATAAAGCCATTTTAACCTGGTGAAATGTAAATGAAAAGGTGTGAAACTATATTAGTTTCTTTTCTTTTTTAAAAAAAAAGAAAACCATAGAACGGTACTCTCAAAGCCTTGACATCGTATCCGGGAGATAAGTCAGTAAATTCCAGTAAAATCACAGGCTTCGCTTATCCCGTGCGAATGCACCAAAAGATAACAAGGCATAAGCCACTGACCAACACCTGTACAGTTTCCTTGTATTAATTACACAGGAACAGGATGAGAACAGGTGGAGCTTGAAGCCAGGTGACTCATAAAATACTACACAGGGCACCTGAATACCACATTTAGGGTTATGTCATGCCAACAATAAGCATCTCATTCTGGGAATCTGCTGGAATCAGATTCCACCCATACATCATCTTACCTGTTCTACAAGCTTGACATTTCAATACTGATGGCTTACCAACTAGTTTACTACGCAGTTTAGGTCTAATGCTAGGTCATCAGCTTACAGTTTAACCAAGTGCTGGATACGGGAACGATCACGGGTCGACCATACTTCAAAGGGGAAACTATAAGTCAAATTCACAGTTAAAATAAAGCAAACGTGAATAAAAAGAAACTAATTACACGCACGTGAACTGGCAAGGCTTGTGTGGCAAATTTTGTGCTAACGTTACACTAAAAAGAAACTCAAATTAATGGCTCTACTCTTCCACGCTTGGCATAACCATTGAACCACTGAAATCAGGAACATTCTCATTCTGGAGTGTGACGATAAATTGTTATCTGACTGAACTGACAGTAATAACATTAGCTCGCTGGCTAACAATTCAATCGCAACCTCTCTGACCCTCACAGCCGCTCAACCCGTGAAAAATTACCAAGTGACCATTGCGTTTTATGTCCAGACACAGAATTAACCATTTATCTAAATGTATAATTACAGCTATAAACTGTCTGGGTAACTTCTTGACACTGGTGATGAGACCGCTAGCAAGCGGCTAGTCAGCGCATTCCAGGAAAGCTGGACAGCCTGAGGAGAACCCCAGACCTTTCATTTATCGACAACAAATATAGTAATGACCGACAAACTGTCTCTGACCCCGTTAAAAAAACGTCTAGCCGTCAAAACGAATAAAACAGTATGGAGTTTCCGTTCAAACGTACGCGGGCAAATGGCTGCCACCCTCGCGAGCTCCTTCACCGGCTGAAGCGCGAGCTTTCACAGCTACACTAGAAACGGTCAAACAAGCGTCTCGGGTAGTCGTTATTAACGTCTCCCTGGCATATTAGAGGCGGAAGGCGAGTGATAATAGCGGATACTTACAAAGAACGGGCCAAACATTGAAATCCCTTGGCAAACCCCGGAGAAAGTGCACGTAGAGCCGTAACCGCCGTGAGGGTGAAGTCGTGTTTGTCGTTCTCAGTGAAAACTGAATTGAGATGAACTGAAGGGGGAGGAGTCGGGCAGCAACTGCGTCATCTTTGCGCAAGAGCCTGCTGACGTTTTACGAGGACTTTATTCCAATACTTTGTGGAACTGAAATATTGTTTACTTAATCCAAGAATGTAGATATTTACGAGGACTTTATTCCAATACTTTGTGGAACGTGAAATATTGTTTACTTAATCCAAGAATGTAGATATTTACGAGGACTTTATTCCAATATTTTGTGGAACGTGAAATATTGTTTACTTAATCCAAGAATGTAGATATTTACGAGGACTTTATTCCAATACTTTGTGGAACATGAAATATTGTTTACTTAATCCAAGAATGTAGATATTACGAGGACTTTAGTCCAATACTTTGTGGAACATTAAATATTGATTATTTAATCCAAGAAAACAAATGTGTGACCACCTCATTTGGAAGTATTAGATTTGAAACTGTTTTATATATTCACAAAATGTAGAGCAAGTTAAAGGTGGATGAATCCTTATAGGTGTGATACCTGTGAAGCAGTTTAGCCACCTTTATATGATCACAGGTGACCCTGCAAGGAACACTCAAATGGATGTAGCCTACACTCCCCCTAGTGTTAGTCACGCATTTCTGTACAAATCTGAATGTGCTGAAAAATATGCTTTGTTCATATATTCTTCCGCCTAACAAAACCTACACACTGTAAATATGTGGGCTTAAGTATTATAGCATGGGCCTATAATATGCCACTGGTAATGATTTTAAGATTAGGTTTTAATTCACATATTAGCCTTGGTCTTATTAGTTAAAGAGAACAACAAAAGACACCCTTGATCAAGAAAGTCTTTATTGATGTTGCATCAGTACTGTCAAGTACTTGTAGATTTTGTACGAGCTGACAAAATATGTTCAATCAAAGAGTGCATTTAATACCCAAAACGGATTGCATAAAGTGAATGCAGTATGACAAAAGTCCTATAGATTGATAGATACATCATAAAAGAAAGAAAGAAAGAAAAACAATGGTAGTGTGTACTACAAACTCCTCGATGCTCTTAAATATAAGGTTATTTGTTCGTACAGGGTTTCGGTAGTTCACAAATGTATAAATATGCCTTCATTAAATTTATGTGCAAATGGGATTGGTTGTTTCTTTTAATCTGATTGAACATGAACAAATATCCCGTGAAACAGAATCAAGGCTTTTTTTTATCCCAGTTTGTTTTAAATTGACAAAAGGAAGCAACATAGTCTAAGAAGTTTTGCTAAATTGCAGCACAACGAATTTTCAAATCTTAAATCCATTGCGCAATATACACTCATCAAAGAAAATATTAGTCACAGTGTTAATATACAATAAAAAGATCACATACATGCTGAAATAGGAAAGATCTGGTGTCAAAACATCATTCAAGAGTAAATAATCTGAACAATGTCATGGAACAAATGTCATGTAACTGTGTATTGAATGGGCAACCTCAGTGAGTGGGTGCATTTAAGTACTGATACTCCTCAGGTTTCATAATTCTACATGTTGGTCAAACAAACAGAAGTAAGAAAATGTCTTTCAAGAGGGACTTCAAGCCTCATTTGCTATTTTTCATTCACTTCAGTAAATGTGCAAGGAACTATTTCTTTGTTTGAGGATGTTTACATTTTAACCTTTCATAAACACCACTGGAGCAGTGGGTGTGATTTATCCAAATCATGTAACTTTTTGTCAAAATGTAAAAGATTAGGACATGCATTGACTCATGTTAATGTCAATCATGTCTGTGTAATTACAAGTCTCAGAAGAATGTAAAAAACAATCAGTCAATTGTGTCATTGTTAAAGCAGCAATTAGAAAAGCGTCAGAGATTGTAAAACGTTTAGAGTACACAATGCAGTAGTTTGGATTTTGTGTTGGAGAAATGATTTGTTACATAAAAAATTCAGAATTATATTTTCATATTCTCAATCTACTAGTAGTCCCTTACTCACCAATGTACTCTAGGCTATCCTAAGATTTTATGTATTAGCTTTGATGTCATGATTTTTTAAGTACACTCTCAGAAATAAAGGTACAAAGGTGTCACTTTTTGAAAGGTACTAATATGTACACTTGAGGCACTAATATGTATGTAATGTGGAAAAAATAAGGCACAAAGGTGTACCCTTTGAAAGGTTACCACCCTAGTGACAGCTTTTGTAAATTTTTTCTGAAAGTTTATGGAATTAGTGTCACAGAAATTGCATATTTGTTTTGTTAATGCAGGCACTGTTGTACAGCAGTCCTCTTGAGGCCTTCAGGATCACTACTGATTTAAACCTGGCATGTTTTGAGCAAAGAACTCAGTAAATCATCAAGTACATTTTTCCTTAATAACTCTCAAACACAATGTAGTTGTCGCAGAAACAGACAGATTAGCACATAATTTCTGCTTTAACACAGTAAATCAAACAAAACATACATACCTAATGACTAAAGCAGATAGATATTCACCTGTCTGGCGTTAATAAGAAAAAAACAATATGGAACTGAAGATTATTCTTTAAATTATGGATGTATTTAAACATACAAATACAATAACAATGCTGTATAGAATGTCTGCATTCTAAAATGTGAAATGTGGCACAAATCAAGTAGCCTGTGTTATATGAGGGAAAGATATAGGTGAATTTGACTACAACCAGGGGAACACACAACCCCAGAGTCAACGTGATGGAGCTCAATGGGAGTCAGAACATTTGGCAACGTGTGCAGTCACATGGGTAAGTCTTTAAATGGTTACCTACACATTGCAAAGTACTTAATAGTCTGATTGCGATAAACAACAACAACTACAACAACATCAATAAAATAACACCAATACATCAACATCAACAAAAATAACATAACAGTTATAATAAAATTATCATATAGGCAGAAAATGACAACACTTGAAAGTAAAACAATGATCAAATTGGACATTTGAAAGAGAGGGTGAAAACAGAGACACAGCATGAATTCTCCATCTTCTGCTTCAAACTCAGCCTCTCCGTCGTTCAGCAAGTCTTTCTTGTAATCTAGTCGCTGTTATCACAGATGTTACTGCAGGTCACTTGAGCAAGCAATTCTCCGCTGTGACGGACCGTTATGTGGGGCACAGGAGGAAACCTGAGAAGGACGAATGGATGTACTCAGTGGAGTAGAGCCCATTTGCTTGGTCAGAGGGCATTTGCACCCAAACCTGGTCATTCTCTTTCAGCTCCAGTACTGCACTACCTGATGCCTGGTCCATATAGCCCTTCTTGTACTCATCATAGGTGTATGTGGCTGGCACATTGTTTTTATACAGTGCCACCCACAGGCTGGTTCCCTTTACATGTACATGATAAGCAAAATAGTAGACTCCAGGCAGTGGGCTTGTGAAGATGCCCGTGGCAGGGTTGTAAGAATTTTGCCCATTATACAGAGTTCTGTCAAATTTGATCGGCATTCCAGATGGTGGAAATGGTGTTGTCAAAATGGCGGTAAAAGCAGGAGCCACAGAGGCAGAGAGCTCAGCCTGACCAAAATAAGGTTTCTCACCATTTGGCTTTAGAATGGATTCTCCTACAATATTTGGTCCTTGAACCGCTAACTGATTTATATCACCATTTGGTGGGCCGGGAAGCCCAGGAGATCCAGGCGGACCTGGAGGGCCCTGCATACCGCTAAATCCAGGAGGGCCAGGTTTTCCCGGAGGTCCTTGTGGACCAGGCATACCTTTGTCTCCAGGCTTTCCAATTCCTTGGGGGCCCGGTGGACCTTGTTCGCCTTTCAACCCTGGAACACCCTGAGGTCCCATATGACCAGTGGGGCCTGGGAGTCCAGGGATCCCTGAATTGCCACGTGGCCCAGGGGGTCCTGTTAACCCATTCTCACCTTTTAGACCTGGTCCCCCAATCAAACCAGGATTACCTGGCAGTCCGATGTGACCCGGTTCACCTTTAGGTCCAGGTTTGCCTGTGGCTCCGTTGAGACCAGGAAGGCCCTTATCCCCTGGCAGGCCAGGCTTTCCTGAGAGCCCACTGGGACCCTGATCTCCTCTAAGTCCTGGCAAGCCCGGAGGTCCTTGTGGGCCATTCTCTCCCTTTAGACCAGGCATCCCATGTTTCCCTGGAAGACCCATAGGACCTTGTGGACCTGGAAGTCCTGGCTGTCCAGTTGGCCCTGTATCTCCTGGTAGACCATCCATCCCAGGTTCTCCTTTGTCACCAAGGGATCCTTGTAATCCACCAGGACCTCTATCTCCTTTCTGTCCTACAAGCCCTGGTTTACCATAGCCAGGGGGGCCAGGAAACCCAGGAGTTCCTCTGGGGCCAACTTCACCCTTTGGACCAATTGGGCCTGAGTTACCTGGAGCACCATCAAGTCCAGATTTTCCCACACCTGCTGCCCCTTGCCGACCTTGTAGTCCAGGAGGACCAGCTTCCCCTGGGACACCTTGAACTCCTGGAAGTCCTTTATCTCCTTTTGACCCTGCTTGTCCAGGCAGCCCATCAATCCCTGGTTTACCCAACCCAGGAACACCTGGAGGTCCTGAAGGTCCTTGAAGGCCAGTGGGTCCCCTGGGACCTGTTGGACCTGGCTTTCCATTGCCATTTTCCCCTTTTGGTCCTTGTTCACCAGGAATACCATGTCCGCCTTTAGGCCCCGGGTCACCTCTTGACCCTGATGGGCCTCTAGTCCCAGGTAACCCTGGTTTGCCGTTCAACGACAGACCTGCTGGTCCAGGTGGTCCTGGCTGACCTGGAAGTCCACGTGGACCCACCTCTCCACGAGGCCCAACCTCACCATTGAGTCCAGGAGGTCCTTTAGGTCCTAGTTTTCCTGGTAACCCTGGTAGTCCTGGTTTTCCAATCCCAGGGAATCCTGGAGGCCCTGAAGGACCTGTTTGACCATTGAGACCAGCTTTTCCTATACCTGGTTTCCCTGGTAATCCAGGAGGCCCAGGTGGTCCCCTTGGTCCTGGCTTCCCTTGAGGACCTGGCTCCCCTTTAATGTCCATCATGGGTGGAAACTCTGCAATAAAAAAAGAAAAATTAATAACTTCATAACTAAATTCATAAAAGAAGATTTTACCAATAAAGACACAACTTTTATTGTCAATGAATCACTGTGCCATCAAAAAATATTGTTTGTTTCCATGTAGAGGGGACACTAAAGTGCTAGGGAGACTACATTTATGCATTGTGTTTTACTCAACATTATGCTCAAGTGTCTGCTCAATGGCAGCTACACAGGTATGCAATGAAGGCCTACAGGGGAAAATGAATGTGTTTATGGACAAAACATAAACAAAGGACAAGGACAAAATTCTCGAAAGCATTTGACCTCACTGGAATTTCAGCAAGGGAACTGCAGTGATGACGTTTGACTGCCATGTTTGTACTAGGAACAACAAACTATGCAAGTGAGGAAAACACTGCAAAGATGCATTCACTTCAGTTCTCAATAAAAGTTTTGAGAGACGAGTTCAGAATTAACATTACATTACATTTAGCCTTACCTTATGACAGATGTATCCTGACATATTCAAAAGCCCATTTGGCATCAACATGAGAGAGACAAATCCTTAGCCTAATCTTCAGCAAAATTGGCCAATGTTAAAATGTGCTTTATACTTTTCACTTCAGAGACCGTACCACACACAAACACAAACTGTTGGGCTTCTAGTATGTCATTTCTAAAGTAATTTATTTGAGGAATATATTTAAACAACAAGTTAAATGAAATATAATGTACCATAATTATCTCATAGATGTTTTGGCCCTTGAGTACCTAATATATATCTATCCATCCACTTCTTAGCAAATATTTTTTATGTCCTCATCTTTATACGTAATAGAATAGTATACTATATTTGTGAAGCGCCCTCAAGTGGTAAAATGATTTATAGCATAGGCCTAGTATTCAACATATGTCTCAACTGGTTTAGAGGAATAATTTATATCATTACACTTTACACATAAATATATAAATACAAAATTACACAATAAAAAAATAATGTTCTATAAATTCCATTTACTTAATTAACCTGATACAATCACTGTGCCACCTTAAACTTTCATCTTTATACGTAATAGAATAGTATACTATATTTGTGAAGCGCCCTCAAGTGGTAAAATGATTTATAGCATAGACCTAGTATTCAACATATGTCTCAACTGGTTTAGAGGAATAATTTATATCATTACACTTTACACATAAATATATAAATACAAAATTACACAATAAAAAAATCATGTTCTATAAATTCCATTTACTTAATTAACCTGATACAATCACTGTGCCACCTTAAACTTCATGCTCCAAAATAAACAGACAACTACAAGGAATTTCCTAAAATACTGGTACTGGACAGAAGTCAGTCTAATTTAGAAATGGTCAGCAGGAAAAAAAGCACTGAGCATATTTCTCTCAATAGTTTCAGCACAAATGCTCATGGGAGGACTTGTTTTAGGGAGGTTGGCTCTGTATTTTAGAGAGGCTGGTTATCTATACCCAATAGCAGGTTTTATTTAGTATTTTTTTGTTTATTTTTTAATGAAAATTAAACAGTTTTAGGTTTCAACTGGATTAGCAAAGTGCAATATCACAAACACTTCTCAAAAAAAAAGTGCAAGTGCAAGTTTCAGTGCAAGTCTTCCATTCTCCACTAGATGGTAGTGAGCACACAGCTTTCCTTTAGAGATGTTTTGAATCTTAATTGATCTTGAAGGTCTCCTATACACTTAACTTTAGTTTGTTTAAATTGTTCAAACTTTAAGTACATTAATTGCAGTTCAATAAACCATAATAAACAATGTGAGCTATATGTGCAAAATAATTATTTACATAATTTACTAACCCCTATGTTGCCCAAACCTGTATGACATTCCTCCTTCAGCGGAACAGTGTTTTCAAACAGGTTTGGAAAAACATGAGGGTGGGTAAATGACTGAATTGTCCTCTTTGAGTGAACTATCCCTAAAAGTTGACCTATCAGCAGCAGTTAAACCAATCACATCCAAGGAAAACGTACCTGACCACTTCTTGCTCTTTTCTCTTTGCAGTGTTCTATCCTTCTCTCTTTACCTGTGAAACAGAGACCTCCTATGTATCTTAAGCACATCACAACAGCTTTCATTTGGCATCCTGGATTTCTCATCAGCTCAAGACTCTCTTGACCCCTCCTGCTTGTTTCTGACACTGTTTTGACATACCCTTTGATTCCCTTCAGGTCTGGACTATATGGACCTGTGATAAGGCTGTGAATCTTTGGGTAGCGAATCGATTCGATTCTCATGATTCATAGGTTTTCGATTTTGATTCAAGAACAATTTTTGCAAATTCAGAACGATTCAATTCGATTCGATTCACAATTCAATTCGATTCGATTCGATTCGATTAACGATTCGATTCTGCATTCTTTAAGTGCATTCACAGGATTATTGAAATGCTTCCCCTAAATTCTTCAAATGCTTAGTCAGGGGGCAAATTGCACAGCAACCTTTATGGTTAGAGAACCATAGGTTAGAGAGAGAGAGAGAAAAAAACACTAGTTTAATGATGCTATGGCATGACATGGCATATGTAGAAATTTATGTAAGCCAAGATTTAAAAAAAGAGCGTTAAAAGTATTATGTATAGGCTAACATTTTGTCACACCAGGGGCGTAACCATCATTTCAGAAGTGACAGAAATGTCAAATACATAAATTTTATGTATGTATGAATGTAGGCTATGTATGTAATATTATTATTATAAATTTTTTTTTATAAGGAATTCTTTTCTTATCTCTTACTTTGAATTTGCTATAAGAAATCAAATACCCTGCTGGACAATAATCAATCATTTGTAATCTATATATTTTTTCCTAATGGCAATTGTATGATTGTTTTATATACTACAAACAATTATTTCAAATTTCTGCACAGAATTAGGTAGAAAATATATTTTATAGTTTCTGTACTGTAATAAATGGTATGTCAATTAGCACTGCATCATTCATAAATTTTATTTATTGTGTTTATTGTCTTAACGTTTCACCAGTTCATTCTGCTTTTTATTCATCTCATCTTATAACCTGTGATATACTGCTCAGAAGGAAGGTGACTTCACCCCACCCTGTCCCTTTTTTCCCTCTTCTTTCTCCTTCTGTGACACTCTCACAATGCCCTCTCGTATATCATAGAGGGGAGAGGAGTCAGTGAACTGCAAACCATTCTTGTGCTCTCTTATTGTTCATCTCAGTGCTTCAGTCTGACAGAATTCTGGCTCAACTCTTTCTCTCCCTGAAGAATCTCAGTCATCCAGGGCCTAAAAGGGTGAATAAACTAAACCACTGTGCCACTTTTGTGCAAAATTTTTTCTGTAAAAAAAAATATTTTTGTAGGCCTAGCCTCCCATTCACCACTACAGAAATTTACCCAACTATAACGACTTCCACTGCTGAGAAATACGGAAAGTGAAAAAGGTAATAGCATGTTTAGGTAAGAAGGTAAGAAATGTTTATTGAGCAGCAAATCAGGAAAAATTGCCATCACAGGAAAAATTTGATTTTAAAATATACTGTATTTAAAAAGAAAAACGAAATTGAATGAATGAATATGAATGTATGGTAGGATGGATAGGAAAAAGATATAATGATGGATAGATTGATGATTTTGTTAATTGCAAACACTTACCAAGATACTGGCCCTTGCCTTCTCTGAAGGGTGGCCCAACAGGCCCCTTCATCATGGGCTGCACATATTTCATCTGAGGCATGGGGGCGTAACCTGCCCCCAGGGCATGATTCCCCAGCGTTAGCAGGACACAGAGCACTGTCAGCATTGTCACTGGCTTTCAAACTGCAAAGAGAGAAAGATCATTGATTCACTGCTTTTAGATCAAGCAGCTAACAATCATTAAAAAAAAATGTGTTTAGGCCATATTTAACACATTAAGGCTATTTATACTCTTTCACAACCCTAATAAGGCTGCTAAATGAGGCTGCATGATTTGGGGGGAAAAAGAAATACAATTGCTAATAAAAATTGTGATTTAAAATTTGATAGACAATTCCAAATTTGCTGTGCTTGTTTGTAGGGCTGCACAATGTGGCCAACATGTTGTGATTATATATCAGTATGGCTATTATCATCATCATTATTATTATTATTATTAACAACAACAACAACAACAATATTAATAATAATAATAATAATTATTATTTTTATATAAAATTCTAAAAAACTAAATAAGAAATATTACTATTCATAATATTTTACTGTAAATGAAATGTTATATTTAAGAAAAATAATAATGTAATATTTTTGTTACATTGCAACTGCACAATTACAATACTAATATTTATGGATGTATTAATTTAAACTTTTATTTTGGTGGAAAATCACCAATGGAAATCGTGCAGCCCAAGAAATATCATCTTTTTGCTGGGTGTTATAGCAGGCAAACGTTACTCACTGCACATGTTTTCATCTCCTTTCAAAGGCTGAGTTCTTTACTCCATGTTCTTTACTCCTAATCATTTTTGGTTACCTGTTCAGTTTCTCTTCACATTCCCGTTTATGTTGGCCTTACCAATGTGCTCGGTTGGATTTCAAAGTCCTACGCCAGTCAGCATTACTGCCAATAGGTGTAATACTGAGTGACAGGGGCATACATAAACAGCTCTCCATGTGCTAGCCTGATCAGCGATGCCTGGCACGGGATACAACACATGAAAGGCCTTCTCGGCTACCATATAGGCTACCAAACACTGAGAAAATAACCCCTAACACTGGTCCAAAACTGAAAAAGCAGAAGTAAAGCCCTTCAGGTTAAACTTTAGAAGTGAAATGTTATTTTAGGCCTTGTTTCAGTACTTCGTGGAAAAATCACAGAATCTATGGGTTCAGTATTTTGGTGCAGAAAAGCAGCCTTGTCAGACGTACATGGTTTCACTCGAGGGCCTTCAGAGATGCTTACAACAAAAGCCAAGAGGATCTTCCTACACGGCTGGCTGTCAGACGGGTCACTGGGTAGAGTTATTGACCCCACACAAGTTATGGCTGGGCGATGAGGTACGGATGCCAAAGCCTAGGTAGGGCTCAGTGCCTCAGCGTTTGTTTAACCAGTCGTTCCCCAAGACAGCTGCAGATGTTTGCTTTAATTTACTGCAGGAAGGAATGATAATTTCATCCTCATGTTACTCGCACCAAATATTTACACACATTTGATCAGGTGCATGGGACAGACCACTGGCTCGGAGACGAGGGGTGCTGATGGCATCAAGTTAGGGTCTAACAGTGGGGATATTGAGGATGTCAGATTTCTTCTGTCTAATCTTGCATTCTCTTTAGCGTCTAACATCCACATCAGCAGTTGTCTTGAATGTCTCTTTTTTTACCTGCTTTCATGGATTACATACCAGTTGATCTCAATTGCTGCTTTCTCTTCCATTTTAAAAGCTGACTCATTTTCTTATCTTAATCATCCATGATTATACGCTTAGTTGCATTTTATTCTTTGCATTTAGCATTTTTCCTGTAAACCCATCAGAACTGGGCTGATTCTTAAAACATTCTTAAAACATTCTTAAAGCAATAGTTCAGTCAAAAAGTAACATTTGTCATCATTGACAGATGATAACAAATAAACAAATAATGTCGTTCCAAATGTCGTTTTTTTAGATTTTTAGATTCTTCTCAATATCTTGTTTTAGGAAAGTCACATGTTTGGAACAACATGAGAGTGAGTTCAAATCTTTTTCCCCTCTTTTCAACAAATGTGTTCGTAAGCTTCATAAAATGTTGATTATCAACCTCAGGAGAGAAAACGAAATATTAAAGTACCTGTTTTATTTTTTTTTAAATTCAATTTATATAAACAGTGCTGGTTTTAAAAAAAATCTTCTATAACAATTAAATATATATTGTAATTAAATATATAATCAAGCACAAAATATATTATTTTGGGTTCTGCAGAAGAAAGCAAGCCATACCGGTTTGGAATGACATGAGAGTGAGTAAATGGTGACAGAATTTAATTTTGTGGGGAATAAAATAAATAAATATAGGATAATTAATATATAATATGAAATAAACATATTTCTATATTTCAAATAAATAAATACACATTTTCTTAAGAAAGAAGTTACACATATTTATTTATTTCCAAGAATACTTAATAAGAATAATAATATTGATATATTTTTTTTTAAGTCAAAACTTAAGAATTTTAAAAGACTTAAATCAGATTCTTGAATGTTCTTAAACGTCATCATAATTAACTACCATAAATTCAGATAACCTCCAACTTTTCTTATACCCCTTGTCTTGAATTTATTGGGTTGTTTCAAATATAAAACACTAGTTACATATAATACTATATGAGACTTTATTTTGTATAAGGAAATTCTGCAGGTAGTGTCATTAGATTATTCAGTTTAAGAATCTGGTCTAAGACCTACAACTCATTTATGACCATTTGTGGTCTCTTTTAGACATCACACCTGGGTGAGCTGTCCTGGGCTCTGCCTGAATATGGCAGGTAGTTTATTGACTGAATCATCTCCCAGTCCTTTATTTCTGCACACTGTGTCCTCCCAAGAGTGCTGAACCTGTGATGCCTGAGGGATGGAGCTTAAAGTCTGCTGATCTTCAATTCTGTCCAAAAGCACATGGACATCCTATCCGTAGCCTTCACAGTTCACAGGTTTTGGTTTGCCGTTCTCAGTGGACCTGGCCAAGCCAAGACACAATCATAACCTACCTCACTTCCTATTTCAATGTTCTGTGACAGCTGAACTCTCTCTCGTAACCACAGGTTTGAACACAGAAACCCACTAGTCAGCCCGACTTCTGCAAGCAGGAGACCCACAATGTCAGATCAACTTTCTCCACAGTGCCACAGCTCAGCAAGAACCTCTTTAAATTCTAACCAAAGGTTAATGGTGCCCCTTTCTCAAATATAAACCCTTTTCACAGTTTAAATAGTAAGAAGCTCCTGTAAGCACCATATCAGAGACTGTAATCATTTGAGACACTTTCCATGAGGGTACGAAACATTTTCAGGAGAGTGGACTAAATATTACAAATGTTTTTTTTTTTTTTATGTATTTATTTATATTTTTGTAAGTGTTAGTGGTTATGGATGTCTAAATACAATAAAACATTAATTTGTGTAACTGTTGATAGTTTTTCTCCTAGCAATAAACATAACATTTCATTATATATTTAACAAATTATCAAAAATAGTTTATCGAAAATATAATACATTTGTTGTTATAATTTTTGGTCACTACAAGTATAATTAAATAAATATCTAAAATAAATGAAATGTCAGTTCGACAATTATGTCAAAGTAATATGAAAATATTTTTTAATTATGAGAAATAATACGATTTCTTCCCCCGTAGCAATAAACATACACACACACACACACACGCATGCACGCACGCACACACACACACACACACACATATAGTCTATTAAATTGGACTATGTATTTAATGCTAAATTATAAAAAATATTATACATTTGATGTTATCATATTTGGTCACTAATATTATAATTAAATAAATGTATACAATAAATTCAATATCAATTTGACATTTATGTCAAAGTAATATGAAAATATTTTTTCATTATGAGAAATAATAAAATAAAATAAAAAAAATTTAAATGTTAAAATTACAAAAATTAAAGGTCAAGACCTTTAATGCCAGACGGGCCAAAATTCCCATTTATATAGGGGCTGCTTTTCATGCTAGGTTAATTTTATATTAAACCACAGTTTATATAACATATCTATCAGTTCTCAAACAAACAAACAAATTCCTTTAAAAATATATTTAAAAAAATGAATTAATAAGGGAAGACCAAAGTTCACTTGTGTACTTATAGTATATGAAGTGTCTTTGTCATGACATGAAATGCCTGTGCTTACTTCAAAGGAAGTCTGCAAAGGCAGCATGCAAATGGTGGAAAGTTAGCAACATTTAGTTTGTGCCTGTGTTGCATCAGTGAAAATCAAAAAAGAAAAGTATGGCAGAGCACATGTCCATGTTAAACCACATCTGCAGGGAACCTGGTCCAACTGCAGCTCCTGCACTATAGCTGGCCAGAGAGATGAGGGGGGAAAAAAATCCAGACATGCTCAGTCTCGCTGTGTTTTCCCAATCAGCAAGACTCCAAACGGGGCACTCTGCGCCTGTTTGCTTTGCCTAATTCACTGCGGTTCACTGGCGTTTCCCTCTTTTATCATTTTCGATTTTCATTTTTATTGTTGTTCTTACTGGAATTTCGGTTCGGGGCTCTGCTTGGCTCCAGCAGGACAATTTTGGGCTTTGCTCCGACCTTGAAGCCCTCCTACGGTGTACAGTGTAGTGCGATGCTTTTTCGCCACCGTGAGCTTATAGCGCTGCGGTTGCCATCTTATTTTACTGCCGCATAAGGATGTGCAGTCCCAAAAACCATGAGCGAGCCTGTATAATTAGTCACATCTGTGTGAGCATCTGTATTTACACTCGATAAAAAACTCGCTTCCTCCTAGTTCTCACATGCAGCCGTTTCCCACTCCAGGAAAAACACTATCAAAAGTCACAGGGAAAACAGGGAGGCCAAGAGTGAGAACGAAAGAGTCAGACAAACATAAAATAGGCAAAAACAGAAAGCGACTGAGAGCATTGCTGGTGCAGCCAGTTTGGTTAGTTGTTGAATAGTTGGCTGTCGTTGGTGGTGGTAGGGGGGCGGGTGGCTGAGGCTTTTTTGGGGGTTGTGGTATTGTGGGGAGGATAATTTAGACGTTCTTGACCATGTGCCCTGCTCTGAGCAGGCGTCTTAATACTCGAAACGATCAGAATCAG